AATATATATAATAATTTATCTTGAATTATTATGATGGGAAAGTCTGTTGTTAGGAACCTCTCCAAAGTACTGAAGAGTAATGGTGTCTCTCTGGAGACTAAGGTGTGTCTGATACAGGCCATGGTCTTTGCAATCACTTGTTATGCATCAGAGAGTTGGACAATAACTAGGGAGAATAGAAGGAAAATTGATTCCTTTGAGCTGTGGTGCTGTAGAAGAGTATTGAGAGTGCCATAGACTGCTAGGAAAACAAACAGATTCATCCTGGAAAGAGTTAAACCAGGCGGCTCCTTGGAGGCAAGGATTCTGAGGTTCCATCTAACATACTTTGGACATGTTGTGAGGAGAGACCGGTCCTTGAAGAAGGACATCATGCTTGGGAGGGTGGAGGGACAGCTCAGAAGGAGAAGGCCCTCTATGAGGTGGATTGATTCAGTGACTGGGGTAATCCGGATGGGTGTATCGGAGACAGTGCGATTGGCACAGTTCAGAGCAAAGTTTAGGGCTGTTGTAAATAGGGTCGCTGTGAGTAGCAAGTGACTTGATGGCACATAACAACAACAACAACATACAGATTGAGCAGGTATGAAAAAAGGAAATAACTCTGACATACATCTTTTCTGATTTTAAACTACACAGAGTCTCCTGTTCTGTATAGACAACTGCTTCTTTGTCTAAATTATTCATGGACACAATTTAGTGTTCTGGGACTCCCCTTCCTCTCAATGTTATCTATAATTTTTAATGATTCTTACAGTCAAATGTCTTTGCATAGCCAATAAAACACATGTAAACATCTGTCTGGTATTCCCTGCTTTCAGTCAAGATCCGTTTAACATCAGTAATGATATTCCTCTTTCCAAGGCCTCTTCCGAATCCAGTTTGAATTTATGGCCGTTCTCTGTTGGTAAACTGTTCCAGCTGTTTTAAATAATCTTTGGCAAGGTTTTACTTGCATGTGATATTAGGTAGTTTCTTATGAATATTGTATGTTCTAGGATCCAGAAATCACTCAGCACTAGCTCTGCTGTAGAACCAAACATAGATAATTTAGGATGAGTGATTTTCATGATAGTTCTCTGCGATTTTAAAGGGGAAAGGAAACAAAACCCCCTTCACACTAATAAAGAGCTAAACTGTGAAATGTACAGCCCTCAAGAGATACACTCACATGAGACTCTTAGACACAGAGATAGACACACACGAAAGTACATCCCCATGCACACCCATGTTTATTGTGGCTTTGTTCACAATAGCAAGGACTTGGAAACAACCTAAGTGCCCATCAATGAATGAATGGATAGAGAAGCTGTGGTATATTCACACAATGGAATACTATGCTGCATTGAAAAACAAGGAACCCATGCAATATTATTCAAAATGGGTGACCCTGGAGAACATTATGCTGAGTGCAGTGTCTGAGTCACAAAATGAAAAATACTGCATGGTGCCACTGTTGTAAAACAGGACTGACCTAGGGTTTGGGGGGAGACTGAAAAAGATGGGTTCAATAATGTATACTGTATTGAAACAGATGAGAGAGGAAACTGCTTAAAAGGGATATGTGTTTAAGTAATTTTGTCATGACAGAAGTCTAGAGCGAAGGCTACATGGTGGAATGGACCTGGAGGAGGGTTTGTAAAACAATGAAAGAATTTTTCTTTTACTTTTCCAAGAAGGTAGTATACTAGGGGGGAGGGTTGAGAGGGGAGAAAAGTGCAACAATGGATGAATGGAAATTCAAATTCTCTGTAAATTTTTACAGAAATTAATAATAAATTTAAATAAAATAATAAAAAAGTACATCCCCTCTTTCCAACAGAGACTAAGTGACCAGGTGGGGTTTTTTAAAAATCCCTGCTCCTACATAAGCCTGTCTCTCACCAAGGTCAAATAGCTAAGAACCCTGCTTTCTTTTCTGTTACAGAATCTAGAAGTAAGGGAGACGACAGCACTTAAGAGCAATTACTCATCTGGCCCTGTTTCTCCCAGCACTTGGGCCCTGATAAGTAGTAGCCAGAATCCAAGTGGCTGCAGCTTCTAAGAATATCACAGGGTCTCACGCAGAGCTGTCATGCAGAACATGCTACCCAAGTCAATACTACAGGAAGCAGGGATCCCAGCTAACAGGGATCCAGAATTTCTTATTCCCAACAATGCAGAATTATTGATCTTACCTGTACAATTATTCCTTTTGCTTTATATTCCACTTGGAGTGCCTTGGAAAATGTGCACATAAAAGCCTGGAGCAGTGAAAAGAAAATACCTAAGAATCCAAATCTAGCTTTCTCCCATCAGAGCCAACTTACTAAAAATTCAAACACCACCACAAGAGCCTATCTGTTGTGCCTTAACAGATAACATATTATTGATGTTAATAAGAGTAAACATTTCATGTCTACCAAAATATTTCCCCCTCCTTTGTCTGTGAATAGTTCTCTCAATCAATAAGAACATACGTTTTGCAACAAATGAATACTTAGAATGACGGCAAGGAGACTTGGTAACACAGCAATTAGGTGCTGAGCTGTTAATGGAAATAGTGGTGGTTTAAAGCTAATCATTTCTGCAGAATAAAGACCTGTTAATCTGTCTTATAAAGACTACAACCTAGAAAACCATATGGGAGTGTACTAATATGTCATATTGTGTCACTACAAATTGACTTGAAGGTGTGCAACAACAGCAACAACACAAGAGGGTGACCACATGGGAACTAGGTGGAACAATTTGTGATAAGCTGACAATCAAATGGTTAGTGGTTTGAACCCATCCTGCAGAAGTAAGACCTAATGCTCTGTTTCTATAAAAATTACAACTAAGAAAGTCCTACAAAAAAGAGATTGCCATGAGTGGTGGCTAATAATAACAGGAGCCACTCAATATATAATAACTTGCAAAAGAGACGCTCCCCTTTGTTCCTAATATAGCTATCCTTCTTATCCCAAATCTTATAGTTTATTTTGACAATCAGGGTGAAGACACAGGCTATGCCTCCAATACTGAAATGAAGCAACAATAGCTTTTGCAAGAAAGCAGCAAGATTTATTGCCAAGGAGATAAACCCCTTAAGGGATAAGCTTGTCAATATGTGGTGCTCTGTAAGGATTTATCTTCCCAGAGGGGCACCATTTCTTACTTTACACAAAGACTTCTCTTGGCTGCTCTGCCCTTTACATATGGCGTACAGGTGATTCTGAGGAAAATGTCAACTAGGGGAAACAGAGGAAAAAGGAAGAGTGGTTTTAGACATTATATTGTCACTCACCTTGGAAGATGAATATAAAGAGTATAAAGGCCAAGGAAACAGGGCTACTCCAGAAGAAATGTTCAAGATTAGTCCTTTCCGCCTAAATGACAAACGAAAGCTTTGATTGGTTTCCTGCAAGATACTTTCTTGCGTCAAAAGTAAGTAAGATGACTCTTACAAGCACTGAAAACCTCCTTCTCCTTACACTTGTGAGTGTGTTGAGTGATTCCTAACATTATGAGGGGAACATTCTTACACCATCAATGAAGTGACACTACAGGCTGAATAACATCATGGGCTGGGTGAAGTTATGCTCAATATAACATCATTTTTTTTATTGCTAGAAAGAAAGTCCATATAGTCAAGATCTGCTCACCAAAATACAGGTAACCAATTCAACTTGGGCAACATTCAAGAAAGAAATTTTCTCTCTCAGATATCATGTGAGCTCAATAGTCCCTTCTGATGCATGAAATTACCCATAAAGAGTACAAATGACCTATTACCGAATGCTGTCGTATATTGTATACAGTGATCCATCACCTACTTTACAGGCATCTTTATTCAAGTCTCTGGAACTTTTAAAGTTCACAATCCTTGTTGTTGTTGTTTAGTGCCATCAAGTACATTACAACTCATAGTGACCCTACAAACAACCCTGTTCTATTCTGTGCCATTCCCATCATCTCTAGCACAGTTCAGCTCATCACTGCAGAAACTGTGTTGATCCCTCTTGAGTGTAATATGAAAAAAAAGAGAAAATTCTAATTACAATACAAGGCCAACCACCTTTTTTCCTCTATGGGGAAAAAACCCCCTATTAATTGTCTTTAATGAATGTTATTGTTATAAGTTGCCTTCTAGTCCCATTATTTTCTAAAATGAATTTGAGTATGACAGAGATTGTTAAAATGGAACTGCATAAGACAAGGTTCAGATATGTTGTTTAGAGGCTTGCCCATATGTCATAGTTCACTCGAGAGTACCTAATAACAACAGTCAATCCCAAAGCATAGTGACCTCATGTATAGCAGAATAAAACACCTTCTGATCTTGTGCCACCTATCAGAATGTTGACCTTAATCCTGTGCATAAATTGCATCAGTCTCTGTGTCAATCCACCTGGTTGGGGTTCTTTCTCTTCTTTGCCATCTCTCCACCTTCCCAAGCTTGATGTCCATCTCCAAGTAATAACCTCTGCTAGTAACACACCCAAAGGATGTGAGATGAAATATTATCTATCATCTTTGCCTTAAAGGAGCACTCTGGCTGAAGCTACTACAAAGTATATATGTTTGTTCTTTTGGTAATACATGAGATATTTAGTATTCTTCAACACTACAATTCAAAGGCATCAATTTTTCTGCCATCTTTAGTAACTGTCCAGCTTTCAAACCCACAAAAAGTAACTGAAAAGACCATGGCCTGTACCAGGTGCACTTTAGTCCTCAAATTAATATTTTTGCTCCTCAATACTTTGTAGAGGTCTCTGACTACAGATTTTTCCAGTGCAACATGTCTCCTGATCGCTTGACTGCTGGCACTAAGTGTATGATTGTGGATCCAAATAAGGTGAAATTAACCGTTCCAGTCATTATGATGTTGTGTATCTATCCAGTGGCTAGGATTTTTTGTTTGTTTGGTTTCTTGACATTAGGATGTAATTCATTTTGAAGGCTGCAGTATTTGATGTTCTGCAGCAAGTGTTTCAAGTCCCCCTCAGTTTCAGCCAGCAAGGTTGTGTCATCTTCATAATGCAGATTGTTGTTGAGTCTTTCTCCAACCTTGATGCCACATTTCTCCTTACAGAGCCCATCCTCTCAGGTAATCTGTTATGCATATAAATTAAAAAGGTATAAAGATAGGACACACCACTGTGGTACACCCTTCAAATTTTGAATCATGCTGTGTTTCCTTACTCTGTTCTGATGACTGTCTCCTAGTCCAAGTATAGGTTTCACATAAGTTAAATCAAGTGTTCTGGGATTCCCATTCTTCTCATAATAAACCACAGTTTGTTGTGATCCATACAGTCAAAATGCCTTTGCATAGTCAATGTAACACAAATAGACATTCCTCTGGTACTCCCTACTTTCAGCCAAGTTGTTGTTGTTGTTATGTGCCATCGACTCGCTTGCGACTCATAGAGACCCAATGTACAACAGCCCTCAACTGTGCTCTATCCTGTGCCAATCTCATTGCCTCTGACACATCCACCCTGATTACCCCAGTCGCTGAATCAATCCACCTCATAGAGGGTCTTCCCCTCCTGCGCCATCCCTCCACTCTGCCCAGCATGATGTCCCTCTCCAAAGACCTGTCTCTCCTTACAATATGCCCAAAGTATGTCAGACGAAGCCCCAGAATCCTTGCCTCCAAGGAGTAGCCTGGTTTAACCCTCTCTAGGATGAATCTATTTGTTTTCTTGGCAGTCCATGGTACATTCAGTACTCTTCTCCAGCACCACAGCTCAAAGGCGTCAATTCTCCTTCTATCCTCCCTAGTCATTTTTTTTGTTTTTGCAGTTTTGTTTCAGTCAAGATCCATCTAATATTAGCTATAATATCCCTAGTACCACAGCCTCTTCCAAACCCAGCCAGCACTTCAGGCAGTTATCTGCTAATGTACTGTTTCAGTATATTTGGATAATTTTCAGCAGAATCTTGCTTGCACGTGATATCAATGATATTGTTGGATAATATCCAACTCACTCTGTTGGATCATCTTTCTCTAGAATGGGAACAAGCATAGATCTCTTCCAGTCAGTTGGCCAAGTGATCATCCTCCAGATTTCTTGGCACAATTTGGTGAGTACATCAAGGACAGAGTCTGTTTGTTTATATATGTCAATTGATATTCCATCAATTCCTGGAGCCTTGCTTTTTGCCAATCCTTTCAGAGCAGCTTGAACTTCTTCCTTCAACACCACAGGCTCTTGCTTATACACTGTTTCATCAAATTTTTCTGTGTCCACCAATTTCTTTTGGTACTATGACTCTGTAAACTCTTTCCATCTTCTTTTAATGCTTCATAGATCATTTAATATTCTGCCCAAGGCATCCTTAAGGATTGTGACTCGAGGCTTGAATTTGTTCTTCAGTGCCTTTACCTTAAGGAATGCTGAGCAAGGTCAGCCCCTTCGTTTTTCTGATTCCAGCTATTTGCACATTTCATTATAATACTCTACTTTGTATTCCAAGCTGCCTTTTGAAATATTTTGTTCAGCTCTTTAAGATCTTGATTTCTTCCCTTTGCTTTGGCTTCTTGTCATTCTAGTACAATATTCAGAGTCTTGTCTAATAACTATCTTTGTCTTTTCTTCCTCCTCTGTCTTTGTAATAAACTTTTGCATTCTTCCAGGATAATATTTTTATATCCTACCACAGCTCATGTGGTCTACACTCATAAGTGTTCATAAACTAGCAAATCTTACCATTATATTATATAATTCATTCTGGCAAAATCAGAAATTCATAATTACTTAAAGATAGGCCTGTCCAACTACTGAAGTTTTTCTTAAGCCCAGCAGGAGTAACTTGTTTTTCATCCAGTGTGTACTGAAATTTTTATTCTTTTCTTTCTGGATTATTCATTGTATTTTGACTTATAAATATAATTATCTGTTTGCAAAGCTGATCAAGACTCTTTACTTTCTTCCATTATCTTCTTTTTTCCTTCATCATTGGTTTTATAATATCTGAAAGCAGCAGCCAGCATTAACTCAACCCCTACCCTCCAGGCTATGCTTTTATAAATGAAGGTCTTACCTTGATTCCATATGTTTAAGAATCAGCTGTGTCATCTGCAAAAGAACAATAAAATAATATACTAGCAAAGGAGCCAAAGCTAAGGTGAATAGAGGAAGTGTGAATAAACTGTTTAATGATCTCAAATGGTTTTGATTCTCATGGGAGGTATTTCTGACAACATTGGAGCCTGACTATAAACTGCAAATTTTTCAGAAGCCTTTCATTCCTTCACTATAAAAAAATTAAAACCAAAATATTATAGCTAAGCTTGTTATTAACAAAACTAAAACTAAAGTATTTTTTTAAAAAAACTTGGAAAATAAAGACAGGATTTAAAAAAATGTGGAGCTTTCAGGATTGTAGGTTTAACACTGCAGTTTCCAAGATACCATTCTTCCAGACAGGTAAAAGTCAGCTGGCTATTATAAACTTCATTTGTGAGTTAGAATCAGAGACCTATTAGAAAACCTAACAGGAATCAATTAGGACATCATGTGCAAGATCTGAAATGGACAACTGTCTTCTTTTCAAAAACAGCAGCCTAAGACTGCTAATCAAAAGATTAGAGGCTGTAGGCCACTGAAAAATCAGGCACTGAAAATCATATGGAGTGGCTCTACTCTGACATACATGGGATTGCCATAAATGGTAGTCTAGTAGAAGGCATCTGTTTTTTAAGCAGCTTTCAGGTGGTCTGTGAAATAGTTCAGTGGACAAACCACATGGTTGCTGCCTACTTCTTGGAATAACAGCATATCTACTACCCTCTCAAAAGATTTTCACTGTCAGTTCTGGAGCATAAATATTCCATTAAAGCAAACTTTGTACTTCATTATTACATGGAAGGAACACGTTTAATAATTAGAACCAAAGCCATGGTCTGAAATTATCAGACTGGATAGATATACAGTATAATTAGCTATAATCAGGCTCTGTTGAAGCAAGTTAGAGACCAAGGAGACGCAAAGGGAAAGGCACAGGAAAGAAATAAAGGAGCCTGGGAATCAGAAGACAGACTGCATAAATATCCAGATTCTATGACTGTCCTGCATAACTTCTCAATAGGCTCTGTCCCTACAACTGCTGCCCCCCTTCCGCCATGTTATCGGTCTCTGTCAGGAAGATGTCAACAAAGAAAACTACAGACCAGTATCTCTCATGAATACAAAAATCCTCAACAAAATCTTAGCCAATAGAATCAAACTGTACATAAAAAAATAGTTTATCATGGCCAAGTGAGAGTTATAAAAGGTAGAGATGGTTCAATATAAGAAAAACAATCAGTGTAATTCATCACATTAACAAAGCAAAGAACAGGAACAACATGATACTATCGATTGATGCAGAAAAGGACTTTGACAAAATCCAGCACCCTTTCCTGATTAAAACACTCAACAAAATGGGAATAGAAGGGAAATTCTCTCAACATAGTAAAAAATATATCCACAAAACCAAGAGCCAATATAGTTCTCAAGGACTGAGATTAGAGGCATTCCCTTTGAGGACAGGAACTAGGCAAGGATGTCCATTATAACCTCTCTTATTCAATATCGTACTGGAAATCTTAGAGAGAGCAGTAAGACAAGAGAAGGAGAGAAGAGGTATCCAAACTTACAAAGAGGAGGTAAAATTATCTCTATATGCAGATGATATGACAGTATACTTAGAAACCCTTAAAGACTTAGGAAGAAAACTAATGGAGCAATTCACAAAGTGGCAAGATACAAGATCAACATACAAAAATCAACTGGACTTCTCTACCATGAAAAGAAAATTCAGAAATGTATCTACTAAAAATAATACCCATCACTATAAGTAAGCACAAGATTAAATGTTTTGGAGTAAATCTAACTAGAAATACAAAAGACCTATTCAAAGAAAATGACAAAACATTACTACAAGAAAGAGGAGGGGGAAGAGCCGGAGAAATGGAAGACTATACCATGCTCATGAATAAGAAGACTCAATATTGAGAAAATGACAATTATATCAGAGGCAATTTAAAAGTTCAATGCAAGCTCAATATGCATACCATTTCCATTCTTCAATGGGGTGGAAAAGATAATTTTGTATTTCATCTGAAATGGAGAGAGACCACGAATAAATAAAGCACTCCTGGAAAAGAGGAACAAGGTAAGTGGCATCTCACTCCCAGGTCTCAAAACCTACTACACAGCCGTGGTGGTCAAGACAGTGTTGTACTGGCACAGTAACAGACACATAGATCAATGGAATAGAATTGAGAACCCAGAAAGCAGCTCATCTACCTATGGTCAACTGATTTTTGACAAGGAGATAAAAAGTGGGGAAATGAAAATCTCTCTAACAATTGGCGTTGGCAAAATCGGAAAACTTTCTGTAGAAAATGCAAGCAAGACCCATACCTCATACCATACAAAAACCAACTCTAACTGGAACAAGGACCTAGGAATAAAACCAAGGATGATTAATTTCATCAGAGAAAAGCTTGGAAGAACTCTAGAAGCCCTAATCTACAAAGTGAACAGTCTTCTAAGCATCTTGAAAAACCTACAACCAGGAGAGAATAAAATAGATTAAAGGGACCTTCTAAGAATCAGATCTATATGCACATCAAAAAATTTCTCCAACAGGGTAAAAAGGACACCCACAAACTGGGAAAAAATATTTGGTAATGAGGAGTGTCATCCACTTCCAAAATGGCTTGCCTCTGGAAACTCTATGAACATGAAGAAACAACCAAAGTTATGCAAGTATTCAGGTCTTTTGTTTATAGGGTCACTATGAATCATCTATGACTCAACAGCACTTAACAACAATAACAACATATCTCAAAAGGGACTCATTTAAAATTTATAAACTTTAACCAAAAAAAGGGTAAACAACACAATTACAAAATGGGCACAGAATATGAACAGACACTTAACCGAAAAAGATATTCAGATGGCGAACAAAAACAAATTTTTTAAAAAGTTCAAAATCCCTACCTCTCAGAGAGATGCAAATAAAAATAACTATGAGATGTCATCTCACCCCAGTAACAATAGCAAAGATCAATAGTGTAGCAAACAACAAATTCTGGTAAGGTTGTGAGGAAAATGGAAACCTATTCACTCTTGGTAGAAGTATAAAATGGTGCAACCACTATAAAAGGCAGTATGGCACCTTCTCAAAAAGTTGGAAATATCATTTGACCCAGAAATTCCACTTCTAGGAATAACTGTAAAGAAACCAGATCTGCCACCCAGATATATGCACACATATGTTTATTGCTGAGTTATTCACAATAGTAAAGAGATGGAACCAATCCAAAAGCCCATCAACAAATTACTGAATAGGAAAACTATGGTATAGTCATACAATGGCATAGTATGCTTCACTGAAAAACAAGGGTCTCATAAAATCTTACACAACATGGGTTACCCTGGAGGACATTATGCTGACTCAAATATTTTAGGCACAAAAGGACAAATACTGCATATTGCCACTGTTCTAGAACAGGACTGACATGGGTGTTGGGAGTAAAACTAAAAAAGTGGGCATAATTGAGGAGCACTGCCTTGGAAGAGATGAAGGAAAGAATTGTTTAAAGCGAATATATGAACTACTGTTCGTATAGTCCAGAGTAAGAGGTGCATAGCAAAGAGGAGTCAGGGTTGGGGGAAGGAAATATGCAACAGTGAATAAATGAAAATTTCAACTTTTCTATAAATGTTCATTAAAATCACAATTTAGGAAAAAAAAACAAGAGAGAAGGAAAACATTTGAAAGATAAAAAAATGGAAAATATTGTCTACTCAGCAAGTCTTGTAACACTAGACTATGCCCACATTTAAAAAGTAAAAACCAATTGCCATCAAGTTGTTGACAACCTATGGAAATCCCATATGTGATAGTGTAAAACTGTGTTCTGTAGGGCTTCCAATGACTAAGTTTTAAAAAGTAGAACACCTGGCCTTTCCTCCAAGGAAACTCAATGAATTAGAGCTGCCAAACTTTCCGTTAACAACTAAATGCATTAACAATTTGTATCTCCCGGAGGTTCTATGTTCACATTTCATCTATTCACCCTAATTACAAAGATTATCTTTTATTATTAATGAAAACATATAGGATAGTATTAAGGTTGTTATTGTTATATATGCCACACAGTTGAAAATGACATATAGTACCTTGATCAACAATAGTAGTCATGCTATGAATGCTCATGCAGCTGATACTAATCAGAAGACATCATGTAGTTCAAGTTCCTTTTAAAAATAGGTGAAAAATCTAAACTTCACAGTGGTTAAACAACATGTCCAATGCTGTTCAACTAATAAGGTTGAAAACTGGGATTAGACAGATTCCAACAACTACATTTTAATGCATTTGGAACACATGTTGATTTACATACCTTGACTACCGAGGTGACATTACAATGGATGAGATTCTATAATAAATAGTAACAGCCACAAGTTAGTCAAATAATTTGAGAAATTTTTGAGTACTTAGTGCTAAAAAGTCACATCTTTTGCAAACATGTAGATCTGAACAGAGCCATCATTCACCCATGCTTCTAATTTATGTTCAAAGAGTGTGAGCCAAGATTGAGTAGCATCTGACATCCATTTTAAATTTAAGTCAGTAAGTGTCTCTGTGAAAATTTAGTGACGTGTATGAACAGAACTATTGAAAGATATTCAACTTCCTATTATAGAATTGCTATTGTTGTTTACCTTTGAGTCTGAACTAACCCATAATTGACCCACCAGCAGGTTTTCAGAGGTAGTAAATTACACAGGAAGAGATTCCCATCCTTCTTCCACGGAGCATTTGATGGATTCAAACCCCATGCCTTTGTGATAGCAGCACAGCTTCATATAATTAGGCCACCAGAGCTCCTTAGGAGATTGTTGTTATTTATGCACTGTCGAGTTGGAACAGACCCCCCAGTGGGTTTTCAGAGGCAGTAACTTCATGGAAGGAGATAGCCCATCCTTTCCCTATCCTTAGAAGATTGTTGTTGTTGTATACCATTGAGTTGGAACTGTCCCATAGCTGACCTTCAGTCAGGTTTTCAGAGACAGCTAATTGCATGGGAGGAGACTGTCCATCTTTCTTCCACAGAGCAGCTTATGGATTCAAACTATGCCTTCAGGACTGTAGTATAGTTTCTTACCACTAGGCCACCAGAGTGCTCTCTGAGAGAATTTGAGATTAAAACATATGAGAATAGAAGAAAACAGAGTGGAGAACAGAAAGGTGAATTGTTATGTATTATCAAAGGTGAATTATTATGTATTATCACCTGGAGTATAGAGGTCAGACAAGGAAACTAATAAAAAGGAAAGAGAAGTAGATATAGAGGAACAAGCAAGCCACACACTCAAACAGGCATAAATAGATAAACAAGAAGAAAACATTGAGCCTTAAATAGAGAGCTGGAAACAAGAGGAATTGAGGTTAAATTCATGGTCATGAGAGGAGTTTGGCAAGGATGGGAACATATTCAAGTAATTTGGCATTATATCTTAGTGCAGCCTGCTCTAAGTCTTGTAAGACTGTAGGAATTCTTGCAGGAGGCACTATATAAAAAATTGGGGAATAGAATCATGATTGCCTGTTTGGAAATGGAATAATCCTATGCCTTTGAATTGTGGTATTGGAGAAAAGTATTGAACATACCATGGACAGTCAAGAAAACAAATAAATTTGTCCTAAAGAGGGTGAAACCAGTTTCCCTCTTGAAGACAAAGATTTTGAAATTGTATCTTATGCTTTGGACATGTTGCCAGGAAGGACAAGGATATCATACTTGGAAGGACAACGCCAAAAATGAAGACCATGGATTATATGGATTGACACAGAAACTGTGTCGATGAGGTCAGATGTGTCAGAAATGGTGAGATTGGTTCAGGATAGGGCAAAGCTCAGAGCTATTGTTCTTAGGATCACTATGAGTTGTAGTTAACTTGATGGCACATAAGAACAACATGACCACAAAGATCAAAGCCTGTGAAGGAATCACCAGATAGCAGCTTCAAGGACTGTTCAAAGTACCTAAAAATTATAATTAAAAAAAATTAGAGAGCCTGAAAAAATATTTCAAAAAAGAAAATGGAGAACTATATATTTCAATTTGCAAGTTACAAAGCTAGAAGAGGGAATGTAATGTCTAAGGATGTGTGTCAACTTGACTGATTATCATTTCCTGGTTTATCAGTGAGAAATACTATAGTCATTCCTTTGATGCTGTTGTCATTGTGTGCCATTGAGATAAGCTTTTAATAAGTTCTTATGTAATATAATAGCTACCTTGATGAGACCTTACATGATATAATGGCCTTCTAAATGAGATCTGTTGTGAGCTACCAATAAATTGAAAGGGAGTTTTATTGGTGAAAAAAGAAATAAAGTTATGAAATCATATCTTGACCAATAATGTTAATCATGGGTCTGAGCCAAGCTTGCTGAACTTACAGTACCCCAACCATCAACTGCATTGTGTACTTTTCTTACACAAAAGGTTGAACAAACATTACTACATGGGGAAAAAGAAAGAAATTCCACAGTTGACTATGTTTTTGTCTTGCAGAATTGGGCTATGAATTGATGGCAATGAGTAGTATATGCACATAAGAGGAAGATGTCAGTATTCTAGAGAGATAGCCATGAAAAATGTGACCATTGATTATATATCAAATATTAGGTAAAAAGAAAGTGATCCCTCAAAATATGCAAACAAATCTTTCTCTAGATATACTTCCTATTACCCCTTTCCATATTCTGTTATTTCTTTGATGAGGGGGGGAACCATAGATGGGTGACAAGAAACATATATGTAAAAGTACAAATTTACCTGGATTTCATCCGGTGTGTTAAGGAAATGATTTGGGAGTAGGCTTGGAAGCATCCCAACATTGTTGACTGACAGAGAAAAAAACCAAAAATATGTTAGATGTTTAAAATTTTCATATTAAACCTAACAGTTATTCTCTTAGGAAGTTTTTGTAAAGATTTTTATATTAAAATAATATACAAAATTGCTCATCAAACATATTGATAACAGTAAGAACAGTGGTGGGAATAATTTACTGTTCAACAAAAAGTGAAGAAATTATAGGTATTATTGTCATGACAGAAGTCCAGAATGAAGGCTGCGTAGTGGAGTGGACCTGGGGGGAGGGATTGTAAAACAATGAAAGAATTTTTCTTGTACTTTTCAAAGAGAAGAGTGTACTGGGAGAAAGGGGCAGGCAGGGAGAAAAGTGAAACAATGAATGAATGGAAATCCAACATCTCTGTAAAGTTTCATTAAAATTAATAATGATAAAAAAGAAAAAGCAAATAAAAAAATAATAGTATGATTTCATTAAAGAATTCTTTGCAATAAAAACCTACAAAGTATTATATAATTATAGTGTTCAATTTAAATTTTATGAAAAACTACTCTCCACATCTAAATAAAATGAAGAAATTAAATGAGTTATGGACCATTCATATGACAGACACAAAGAAACCATTAAAAATTACTACTGCTTAGAATTTCAGTGACATGGAGTGAGGAAATTTGTGATGTAAATTTGAAGAAAACATTTGCAAAACAGTATATAACTGTTCTTCTAGTTATAAAAGTATATACATTATGCCTAAAAGAATTTGCAACAAAATGCTATCTCAGATGATTGAGATTTTAAAAAATTCATACTCACTGATTGTGTTCACATATTATTTCAAATTTATGCAATTATAACTTTTACTTTTTTAGTAAAGGTTGTGATTATCTTTTAAAATACAGTACAAGAAATGAAATATAGTATAAGTCAGAAATCAGATCTTTCTTCCTTGTATATATAATACAAATAATGCACAGTATACATTTTATAAAATTATCTATAAATAGCAGAGCTCATTTTCAAATATATCTTCACTTGCTATTTCATATATCAACCATGTTGTTGTTCTTGTTATGCACCCTTAAGTCAGAACTGACTTACAGTTGACCCTTCAGCAGGTTTTCAGAGGCTGTAAATCACATAGGAGATTGCTCACATTTTTCCCTTGAAGTGATTGGTGGAGTCATAATACCTGATTTTGAATTGGCAATACAACTCCATACCACTAGGATACCAGCCCTCCCTATATCCACCATATTGTTGTTATTAATACCTTTAAGTAGGAAACAACTTATAGCTGACCCTCCAGAGTGTTTTCAGAAGCTATAAATCACACAGGAGAAGACAGGGCGTCTTTCTCCTGCAGAACAGTTGGTGGATTCAGACTGTATTCCTTTGGGTTGACAGTGGTTTCCTTACCACTAGACCACCAGTGTTCACTATATACACTATGTTGTTATTATGTGCCATCAAGTCACCTGCAACTCATAGCAACCCTATGTAAAATAGCTCTGAATCATGTCCTTTCCTGAGCCAGTCTCACTAACTCTGACACACTTACCCTCATTGTCCCAGTTATTGTATCAATCCATCTCATCCAAGGACTTCATTTCCCATGCTGTTCCTCTACCCTTCAAAGCATGATGTTCTTCTCCGAGGACCAGTCTCTCCTGGCCACATGCCCATAATATGTGAGACAGGGAGCTTCAAAATCCTTGCTTCCAAGGAGAAACATAGTTTCACCCTCTTCAGGACAGATCTAGTTGTTTTATTGGCAGTCTATGGTATGTTCAAGATTCTTCTCCAGTACCACAACTCATAAGCATCAGTTCTTCTGTAATACTTAATCATTGTCCAGATCTCTGTTGCATTGCACGTAATTGTGAAGACCATGGTCTGGATCAGGAGTACCTTAGTCTCTAGACTGACATTGTTGCTTTTAAGTACTCTGTAGAGTTCCCTGACAGCAGATTTTCCCAGTGTAATTTGTCTTTTGATATCTTGACTGCTGGTGCCAAAATTGTAGAAATACTTTTATGTTAGACTAATTCATTTTGACTAGCATTTCTGGGCCCTTTCTTTTTGATAAATATTATTATTAATTCAGCAAAAATAATTTTTTAATTAGAAAATATGAGAAATGTTAAAATATAGAAACTAAATACATCCCAAAGCTCTATATTATTTTTTTAAACAATAATGTCTCTTGAAAATGTGAGCTTTAATATCCAGGTTAATACTAAAGTTCAAAACATGGCATGTGTTAAGCTACTTTGAAATAACTAAGTATTGTTAAGACAATCTTGTAAATGTTGTATTTCAATAAAGTTGGTATGTTGTAATTTACTTACCTAAAATTCCTATTTCTAAGCCTTTAAGGTTTTCTTTGATAGACTCATAGATGTCATCTTTTGTGTAATCTGCTTGTATAATCTTCACACTACTTCCTGTAGTCTCCTCTGCATTTGAGACAACAATTATTTTTTTTAACATCCAGAAGCCAAATTCCCCTCTTCCCTTCAGAGCTCCTCTGATGCTCTTATACCACCTAAGCAGGCACCTAAGAGGACCAACCTTACTCACCAACAGTGACTCCAGTTAGAAACAAAAAATGTTGTTGTTAGGTGTTGTGGAGTTGAATATGACTCATAGTGACCCTATGAACAAGAGATATAAAGCTTGCCCTATCCTGCAACATACTCATAATATTCTACATGTGACAATCCACAGTCTTATCTTTTTTCAGAATCTTCCTCTCCTCCTCTGATCTTCCATGTCCATTTAAAAACAAAAATGTACCTAATAATAAGAGCCATGGTATTTCTAATTTCTTCCTGTGCATCTGAGATTTGGACAACAAATAAAGATGACAAAAGAATTAAGTCTTTTGAATTGGTATTGGTGAAGAGTGCTGAATATCCCATGGACTGCCAAAACCACAAATAAGTCTGTGGGAGGAAGTACAACCAAGGTGTGTGCCCCTTAGATGATGAAACTTTATCTCACATACTTTGGGCATGTTATCAGTAAAGGTTAGTCTTTGGAAATATGAAATAGCCCTCTGCAAATAATTAGTGGTACATGGAGACTTGTGAATAATGGTTTTTAAGTGTTTCTAAGAATCCCCATGGTACCAAGCACACATATTGAAAGAAATTTATGAAATGGTTCTTAAAGTAGGATCTACAACCAGCAGCATGAATTTCACTAGTAAATTCATGTAAAATACAAATTCTCAAGCCCTGCCTCCAACCTACTGGATCAGAAACTATGGGATGTGGTTCAGCAAACTGTTTTAACAAGCCCTCCAGATGAGACCTATGCAGGATTAATATTGAGATTAACGGATGTAAAAGTAAAGTCTGATGCCCACATTTTGCAAAAGCATCCAATTCCCTCCACCAGACAAAGAAACCCTTTGCATATACAATGCTTTAGAGTTTATAAAGAATTTTTACGTACAAGGTCTTATAGAACCTACAACCTTTTAACCACAGCAATAGATTTAAGCACAGCAGAGATTGTGCAGATGGAATAAGACATGAAAGAGTTTCATTTGTAACTGATACTATAGCACACAGAAACAGCATGACCATTAAGGACCACTTTAAAGAATTGGAAAGCAAATAACTTTAAAAGCTAAAGAGTATCTGATCTAAGCCAATGCATTTTTTTAATTACTTCGTATGCATGTGAACATAAACAATGAATAAAGAACATAGAAGAATAATTGATGCCTTTGAATTGTAGTGGACAAAAAATTTGCTTTGGAGGAGTAGCTAGAGAGCTACTTGAAGATGATTAGACATTTTCTCACATACTCATACTATGAGCATGTTAGAAGAAGAGAACAGTCCTTGAGAAGCCCATTTTGATGTGGATTGGCACTGTGACTGCTAGAATGGATTTAAGCACAGCTGAGATAGTTAGAATGGGAGGGTTTGAGATAGAACAGGGTTTCATTCTGTTATGCATATATCTACTATAAGTCGGAGACAATTCTACTATACCTAGTAACAATATACCCTTTTAAAAAA